ATAAAAAAAGGTTATAGCAAAAAATTTTTCTTTCAAAATATGTGAAAAAAATTTTATTGGTTAAAAATCAATAAATCTAACCCAAACCCAAATATTGGGCCCAATAATCACTTTCACAAATTAACCCATTAAAACCCAAACCCAAACCCAAAAAACCCTAGTTTTCCTTTCTCTTTAAAAGGGGGAGCCACACCAAAAAGAAAAGGCTGCAGACGGCAAAAAAATAAAAATAAAAAGAGGCTGGATTCTTCTCCCATCCAAACCCCTTTCTCCAAATTTTCCTCCGATCAATAGCTTCCACCTACATCACCGGTCATCAGTCATCACCTGATTCTTCTCCCATCAAGAACCCCCTTTCTCCATTTTCTCCGATCGTGGGATCCCTCCTTCAGATCTGGATCTCCTTTCTCCAAAATTTCCGCCTTGGGTGTTTTTGTTTCATATTCTGCAATTTCCTGATGTTTGGTGCTTAAACTTGTATGAATTTGCTAAAAGTGAATGATATTCAGTGATTCGTTGCCTGTATGAATCTGCTCTGCCGCTGGCCTGCTGCCGGACCGGATCCTTCTGCTTTGCTGCCGGACCAGATCCATCTGCTCTGCCGCTGGCCTGCTGCCGGACTGGATCCATCTGCTGCCGCTGGCCTGCTGCCGGACCGGATCCATCTGCTGCCATTGCTATTGCTGCCGTTCCCCTTGGGGAATAGGGATCCCCGCGGGGATCACCATTCCCCGCGGGGAACGGGGACGGGGGGCAAAATCTGCTCCCCGTAAAAAATCCCCGCGGGGATCCCCGTCCCCGTGACTCACGGGGACGGGGATGAGGAAGGGGTCCCCGGCCCCGCGGGGCCCCGTTGACATCCCTAGACTTCTAGGTGCGATCTGTATGTGTCAAGAGTATTTTCATGGTTATTCTACGTGCTTGACGGCCAGTACTGACCATGCGGTTCCATCCGTGGCCATCCGGCTTCATCCATGGCCATATCCGGCTCCTTCAGTTTTTTTAAAAAGATTTTTATGGTCACTCCAGTTGCGATCTGTATGTCTCAGAGTATTTTCATGGTTATTCTAGGTGCTTGCAGTCCAGCACTGGCCATCCGGCTCCATCCGTGGACATCCG